AGTGGCTCGGTGGCGGAATGGTTTAGTACTTCGGTGCCTAATTATTGCAATACCGACACAGCGATCATGGGTTCGAGACTGGGTATGGGAAATTTTTCACTTGTTCTTTTTCGAATCATATGTACTGGAAATGAGGCTCACAGCCTTCCTTTGTAGGCTACAGACAGAAATGTCATCAAAGGAGTGGTTCGGATCCCACTATAAATTGTAGGTCTAGGTTTGAGTGCAGTGGTTTGGCGCATCCTCACTCGTTAAACTCTCATTAGCTGCGAATCGCCCTAGCGCACCTCTGGATCACAATTGATCTGAATAGGTAAAGGTTTTTTTTTTTTTTTTTAATCCATTTGAATAAACTTTCGAAGAAAAAATTGAGAAAATTGTTTTTGACTAGGGTCGCCCCTAGTCCAAAATTGAAAATGTATTTCCTCCTTGGTTCTTTGCTCAAAAAAATTTTAAGATGTTTTATTTGTATTTGTTTTGAACACTTGAATATTTAAGCAAAGTTTCATTCCATTTGTATAAACCCTCGAAGAAACAAGTGACAAAATTGATTTTGACTAGGGTCGCCCCTAGTCCAAAATTGAAAATGTATTTACTACTTGGTTTTTGGCTCAAAAAAATTTTAAGATGTTTTATTTGTATTTGTTTTAAGCACAAGAATATTTATGCAAAGTTTCAATCCATTTGTATAAACCCTCGAAGAAACAAGTGACAAAATTGATTTTGACTAGGGTCGCCCCTAGTCCAAAATTGAAAATGTATTTCCTACTTGGTTCTTTGCTCAAAAAAATTTTAAGATGTTTTATTTGTATTTGTTTTAAGCACTAGAATATTTATGCATAGTTTTAATCTATTTGGATAAACCCTCGAAGAAAAAAGTGGTAAAATTGATTTTGACTAGGGTCGCCCCTAGTCCAAAATTGAAAATGTATTTCCTTCTTAATTCTAGGCTCAAAAAAATTTTAATATGTTTTATTTGTATTTGTTTTAAGCACTTGAATATTTATGCAAAGTTTTAATCCATTTGTATAAACCCTCGAAGAAACAAGTGACAAAATTGATTTTGACTAGGGTCGCCCCTAGTCCAAAATTGAAAATGTATTTCCTACTTGGTTCTTTGCTCAAAAAACTTTAAAGATGTTTTATTTGTATTTGTTTTGAGCACTAGAATATTTATGCAAAGTTTCAATCCATTTGGATAAACTTTCGAAGAAAAAATTGAGAAAATTGTTTTTGACTAGGGTCCCCCCTAGTCCAAAATTGGAAATGTATTTCCTTCTTAATTCTAGGCTCAAAAAAATTTCAAGATGTTTTATTTGTATTTGTTTTAAGCACTTGAATATTTATGCAAAGTTTCAATCCATTTGGATAAACTTTCGAAGAAAACATTGAGAAAATTGATTTTGACTAGGGTCCCCCCTAGTCCAAAATTGAAAATGTATTTCCTACTTGGTTCTTTGCTCAAAAAAATTTTAGGATGTTTTATTCGTATTTGTTTTAAGCACTAAAATATTTATGCAAAGTTTCAATCCATTTGAATAAACCCTCGAAGAAAAAAGTGACAAAATTGATTTTGACTAGGGTCGCCCCTAGTCCAAAATTGAAAATGTATTTCCTCCTTGGTTCTTTGCTCAAAAAAAATTTTAGGATGTTTTATTTGTATTTGTTTTAAGCACTTGAATATTTATGCAAAGTTTCAATCCATTTGGATAAACTTTCGAAGAAAACATTGAGAAAATTGATTTTGACTAGGGTCCCCCCTAGTCCAAAATTGGAAATGTATTTCCTTCTTAATTCTAGGCTCAAAAAAATTTCAAGATGTTTTATTTGTATTTGTTTTAAGCACTTGAATATTTATGCAAAGTTTTAATCCATTTGAATAAACCCTCGAAGAAAAAAGTGACAAAATTGATTTTGACTAGGGTCGCCCCTGGTCCAAAATTGAAAATGTATTTCCTACTTGGTTCTTTGCTCAAAAAACTTTAAAGATGTTTTATTTGTATTTGTTTTAAGCACTAGAATATTTATGCAAAGTTTCAATCCTTTTGGATAAACTTTCGAACAAAACTTGAGAAAATTGTTTTTGACTAGGGTCGCCCCTAGTCCAAAATTGAAAATGTATTTCCTACTTGGTTTTTTGTTCAAAAAAATTTTAAGATGTTTTATTTGTATTTGTTTTAAGCACTTGAATATTTATGCAAAGTTTTAATCCATTTGAATAAACTTTCGAAGAAAAAATTGAGAAAATTGTTTTTGACTAGGGTCGCCCCTAGTCCAAAATTGAAAATGTATTTCCTCCTTGGTTCTTTGCTCAAAAAAATTTTAAGATGTTTTATTTGTATTTGTTTTGAACACTTGAATATTTATGCAAAGTTTCATTCCATTTGTATAAACCCTCGAAGAAACAAGTGACAAAATTGATTTTGACTAGGGTCGCCCCTAGTCCAAAATTGAAAATGTATTTCCTACTTGGTTTTTGGCTCAAAAAAATTTTAAGATGTTTTATTTGTATTTGTTTTAAGCACAAGAATATTTATGCATAGTTTCAATCCATTTGGATAAACCCTCGAAGAAAAAAGTGACAAGATTGTCCAAAATTGTAAATGTATTTCCTACTTGGTTCTTTGTTAAAAAAAATTTTTTTTCATCCAAAGTTTAATTTAAAAAAAAAATCACAATGAACTTTTAATTTGAAAAATTCGTAAGAAAGGAAAGTATTTTGCTTTTTCTGAAGCAACGGCTGTTCTTACCTTGCCTAAAAACAATACAGCTCTTCTATAGAATAGCACGGATCAAATGTAAAAAACTAGAAGTCTCTACGATGTCTCGTTATTGAGATTTTCTGCCGATTAACTTGCTTGCTTGCTTGCTTTCAGAAAGCGTATTTTCTCAGCAACGCCGCAACCAATTTGAAATCTGTTTTTTGCAAATGATGTAAAATTTCAGGCACAAACTTTTATTCTGGGACCTTTTACAACCAATTTTGCTTCGTTAACTCACAAAATCCAAAAAACTGATTTTTTGATCTGAACAAAAACAAAACATTCACACGTGAAAACGGTGTGAATATAATAATTTAATTACAAAATTATATTGATAATGTTACATTTTTCAGCATGAAACCATTTTAATAGCCAAATCTCAATGAAATATTTGATAAAAATATTTAAAAGGAAGTAATAAAAGGAACAAAAATTTTCTAATTTCTATTTTTTTTTGTAAAATAAACTTTGATCATTTGATTTTGTAAGTTCTTGAAGAAAAAAGCTTTAATTTAAGGCACGCAACACCAGGCGCTGTGCTCACTGAAACAGTCGTTTTTTAAATGTTTTTTACGTTGGTATAGATCAAATAATATTTTTCTATTGTGACTCAAAATTTGTGACTGATAGCCTTTTCCCTGAATGTGTCTTGCATCCTAGATGTAAAAAAAATTTCTTTAAAACGATTTTTTTTTGGAAAATGTTGAATATTTTTTATCCTGTGTCGATTTGTCTGTTGTGATGTAGAAATTTAATACAATCAAAAATTGAAAGCACATCCCAATAAAATTGATATTAGAAAATCACCAGGCGTGCACGTTTCAAAGTGATTTGAAAATGTTAAAGCTTTTTTTTGCTTGTTTTGAATTTCGAAACAGGATCACAGTGCTCATGTCAGGAGCATATCTCTCTCATATTAGAAGAGAGAATAAAGCTTTATTCGTAGCTTTTGGCTAGGATAGTAAGCTTTTTGAGGATTTTTTTAAAAGGAGAAAATAAACTTCTCCCACTAAAATATCCTGTATCAAACTTGGCAAAAAATGAATGAATTCTGAACATATTGAGGGGAATTTTTTTTTCTTTCATGATAAATCTTCGGGTCGTCATGTTACGAATTAAGAAAAGAGAAAACAGTTCTCTTTATTTTCGATGGATTCTGTGAGGCTCTCAGTGATGTGAATGATAGAATTGCTAGCAAAAGCACATTTTATTCTTTTCTCCTTCTAAAAAGTGATTCAAAAACTTTACACAGAAGTTTTTTCATCTCCATGAAAGTTGGTATTGTAAAAATTTATTTTTGTATTTCTTGTGAATTTTCCAAATTTTAACATTTATTCAATATGAACATAGTTTAACTTTTTTAGCGCTTTGTTTAAAACTTGAAGTGAAAAAATAAAAGTTAAAAGATAAATGGATTAAAATCTTGTAAATAAAAAAAAAAAGAATTCAGAAAAGTTTTCGAGCAAGTGAAAGAAAGTGCCTTTATGTAATAATTCTTTTAACTTAATATTGAATTTTTTTAAATCTTAATTAATTGAAAAAATCGCTTTATAAATATTTTAATTAAAATAATAACCCTCATATTGAAATTAAAATATCGATACATATATTCTTGGGTATATAATATATAGCAGCAGTACATAACAGTATCATTACCTTTTATTGGAAAAAGAAGCTGCAAATGCGTGAAAATAAAATGTTTTGCTCTCATGTAACTTGAGAACTCTTAACGCGAATAAGAACGCTTCAGCTATACATGAAATTAAAAACAATTTTCATTTCAAATTGTAGTGCCTCGGCAGCGTAGTGGTTTGATCTTTTGAAACCGTGATTTGGCAAGCTATTTAATACAATGTTCAAAGAATTGGCATTTCATTTTTCACCAATTGTATACCATGCTTTGCAAATCCTCACTAGGTTCTTTTCAATTTTTAAGTTAATATTAAGCGTTGTAATAAAGGAGAGGTTATATGCCATAATTGTGCACTTTAAAGTCCGAACATGCAGTTTTGGTTCTATTTTTGAAACCTTTTGTATTCCTTTAATTCCCCGGAATATTCCCGTTCCTCATTCTTGATAGAAACCCTAAAATAAAGTGGTGATGATTTATGATGACATGGAAAAATAATATTCACCAAAAGAATTTTAAATCTTAGGACTTAGGTACATGCAGAAGCGTAGCCGGGGTTAGGGGGGGGGGGGGGGGGGGTTGAAATAATTTTTTTTACCCCTGGGTATATGCAAACGATTTTTCAGACAAGTGTTTTTAAGCTTAAAGAAGGAACATCTATCTGAAACATTGATTTCTCCTCATATTAAAATAATAAGGAAGTGAAAATATCATTGCTTTATGATATTTCTGAAGTGTGCAATCATCGTGATTTAAAGGAAGTGAAGTGAAATAATTAATTTCTCAAACTATATGCACCACTTAATAACAGAACTAACAAGAAGCAGAAGTTTTTTGTTGGTTTCAAATCAAACTTTTCTGACAATTCAATAAAAACAATTTGAACAAGGAAAATGTTCTCACTATGTCCGAATTTTACACCCCGCACTAGTCAACAATCAAATGAACAAAATCAGTTCCACCAGTTTCCATGTGGTATGTAAGAAAATATATATATACTTTAATCCTTGCTTAATGTATCCCAATATTATCTCAACTTTACTCAATTATTTTAGGATCTGGTGGAAAACAAATTAAAGGAGGTTATTTATTAAGATACAAAAGTGAGTAAAGATCTAACAATATAATTCATAAATATCACAACATATGACATCATAAATAACATAGTTTGCGTACAACTTTGTCTTGCTCAGAACATATATCCATCAAAATTCATGGTAGCATTTGTGTGCTCAAAAAATTTTAGGAAATAAAGAAAGTTGCAAAATATTTCCTGTATCTTGACCATGTTATAGAACTAAAATTTAAAGTAAATCTTAAAAAGGCTGCAATAAAGGTTATCTTTATTTGGTAAAAGATAATATTAGTTGTCCTTTTTTAATCCCCAACTTCCAAAGTAAAACTTATTGAAAGTTATTAAAGAAGAGCTACAAAGCTGATTTACCCAAAATATTTTATTTTGTTTGACGCATTATTTAAAAAAAAATTGATATAGATTGTATGGGCTGATTTTTTATTAAATAAATGTGTAAAGAGCTTAAAATAATTATCACTTAATTCAAATTGAACAAGCTCATTAGAATAGTTTTGCATAAATTGTCACTGGAAAATCTACTTATTTAATTTATTTTTTCATTTAAAAATAGAACAAATTTTATGGAATACGTGGTGCGAAGAATGGGTTGTCTTATATGATGACAGTACAATGGCTTGGTTTACAGTGTGTATCAATAATAAGTTTGACAAATATACATATTTTTAATCGTATGCACTTAACTTTAATCAGGAACCAGGAAAATCATCACCTTCCGGGAAAGTTCTTGTTAAGGAAGCTCCAGAAATGTTAGCTATATCGCAATGGACAAGTCAAGTTCCACGGCGTCCTCCAATACCCGAAGGGTGTTCACTTTCTCAATTAATTGCTCTGGGTTCACGTCGCAAGAGATCAAAGGTATATTGGATGATAGCGCAATCAGAACACGAAGTTAGGTAAACTTTTTTTAAGGAATTTATTTGTTTAGAAATTCTCATTTTCATAGTTATTTTCATGTAATTTTACAGTGAATGGATAGCAGCAATTTCAAAAACTGTAAGTAAAGTCTGTGCAAAGAAGTTGTGAAATTTATATTTGTGAATTTTTATTACCTCTTGATAGCTTCCACCTGCCCCTCAAATTGAATTAATTTTAGAGAAAACACATTTCGGTGTGCTCAAAAGGCCACTGGTGCGAATTAGACGTAAGGCACACATTAATTTCAATTGTTTCTTATAGTTAAATTTAAAATTTACTTTAAACTAGCATCATCAAATTCGGAGGTGTTGCTTCATAAACATGAACAAAGATATTCATCAAACATAATAAGGATTCATGGACAGACGCCTATAGCAGTAATCAAGAAAAATTCGAATAAAAAAGGAACTCTTGCATATACAATTCCATGGGGTACGATAATAAAATAAACCAAAAAGATAATACTAATTTTCAAATATCATTATATGAAGGTTACGGTTGGGGTTGGGTAACATTGCCTAATGGTCTTTGGAATGGCGCTTTAACATGGTCACAATGCGATGATTCAATTTTACTTCATGCTTTACCTTTAGCTGATTCAACCAACATGTTTGAAGGATGTGAGGTATATAGTCACGTTGAATCACATTCGTATGGTTTAGAAGCAGCATCAACAATAGACGATATTACGGCAGAAGATTATGATTATTCAGTTGACTGCGGGGATTTTTTCTTTTAAAAACGTGAAGTTTCATTTCGTAGTGTGTATGTGTACTTGGATGTTCGTGTTTAGTATGTGAATAATCGAATTTAGAATAATTGAAGCACCTATCATGCAAAGTGAAATTTTGTTTAACATTTAATGATATAACGAAGCGTCAAGATCATTTTTAAATTTTAAAGAAAAAAAAAATAAAAAAAAACTAAAAGCACGAAAACAAAGAATGTTGTCTAAAGTTTTATTACAAAAGATGAATATGTGAAATTTATGCATTGTACTAAGTGCAATCAATTTTACCATTAATCAGACAGAAGATGTTATGCCACTAGAAATTTTCGCATATCTCAAAAATCAAAAATAAAGTGGGTAAGTTTGCAAAAACACTATAATGGTGATACTTAAAATGTGTTTAAATCATCAGGTTATAAACAAATCATATGAAAAATAATTAGGTTATTAAGTAGCAAATATTGATTTAGATCTTGAATACGCTCATATAGTTAATAATATGACGGCAAACGCAGATCAATTAGCGAAATTGATAATTGTTTATATTTTTATCTTCATGAATCAATACAAGTTTTGGACACATATGTAATGAAAAGTTTTCTGATTGATGCGGGCATTTAGTGATTATTATTATTTAATTCAACACAATTAATGTCAAAAATGTAAATCTAGTTAATTTATAATTCATAATATTTAATCAAACCGTATGAAGCAGAAGTTTTCACTAGTATTTAATTTATCTACAGTGTATCATATTTCAAGAAAGGTAAATTATTAAAAATCAATTCTTCACCCATCAACTACAGTAATTTATCCTTAAAATAATTAAAATAGTATAGCCTCTTGTCATATACGACAATGTCGGCTGTTAGGTTTCTATTAAGAAATGATCGTAAAAAAATTATTATCAAATATATTATGATCCAGTTAACATCTAGTCATACTTTACTCCGGTATAATTAAATTCAGTAATAAAGTATGATAACCTTAAATAAATTACAGGCTGTATTGAGTTTCTTTCAAGGTTTACAGCAGAATGACAGAAAAACAAATGGATAAAGTCTTTTATAATAATAAGACACAAAAAATTAGATCAAAATATAGGATGATAGGTTTCTTTAGTAGTTTGAGCCTTAAACAATTTTATTCCATATATAAAGATCCACTAAACGTCCAATAGGATTTGGTTCAACAGTCCTTATTAAAGTCGGTTAATCATTGTTATTGCTCAAAAAGTTTCGGTTTTAAATAGAAAAAGTTTTCGTGATTTACCAAATACCAAAAAGTCATTTTTAATATTTATTTATTAAAGATAATGTTGAATTTATTGATTTAATGAATTTAATAATAACGATAAGGTGTTAGATGATAATTAAAAAAGAAAATAGAATAGAAAAAGACTTGTTTGAAATGAAGGGTAATTGACAGAGATTTAATCATACCTTACCCATCAAATGTTGTATTGATTCAGAAAGCATTTCTGAACATTCAGTTTATTAAATTTTTGGAAGAAACTAGACCAAAAAACATCAACAGATTTATTAAAAACTTAACATGTATGGAAGAATCGTTTCCAATAGTAGAGTAAGTAGAATCCAAGAGGTATTATTAAAATACGGGTAGTGTCTTCAAGACAAAAATTTTGTTACATCAAACATAGAAAATGAAAAATGAAAAAAAATGTTGTAAAACCATGATAGAAAATGTAACGGATTTATTAATCCAACAAATTTGATCTCCTCAATATATTTTAAAATCACTTTTATTGCCTTTGATTTATTCAAAATGAATGCGTTTTTTCATATTCCAATATTTTCAATTTTATTTTGAATAAGCTTTTTGAAATTTTGAAACAACATTTTATTGAATCTATATCATGAATGTGCCCTAATATAAATTACATTTATTTTTTAAAATCTTTAATTACAAAATATATATATAAGTAAATGATTATTTTATGATTCTTTTAAAATTCATCCTGAACATCTCATCACATCTTAACATGATATTACGAATTGTTGCACAACTACAAATGATGTAGTTGATGTATATTTAAAGCAAGAAGTTCTTAATAATAAAAAATACTAATTTCGACAAGCCCTATACGGAAATTCAATACACGAAACTGCAATTAATATGTCCTTGAATAAAAGTATTAAGTTTGACATTACGTCATTCCATGTGACTTTATAGACAAATTGATTTTTCACAACTCTGGGTTTGTTTACCGACATTCTAAATACGACTCTACTACCACTAGAAATTTATACCAATAGTTGATGAACAGTTTGGTTCATGTTAAGAAGTGCTATGTAAAATTTTGGATTTTAATAGTTTGTATTTAGTCAATTTAAATATAATTACTTTTTAAAAAATTTCGTAAAAGGCAAAGAAAATTGGGAGGAAGCATATTATGCTTTGAATAAAAACCATTGTAAATGTCGTTAGCATTGTGTGAATCCTTGTCATATCGACAATATTCTATATAAATGATTGAGAGATCAATGGGAATCGAACTCACGTCTTTACAAAAGAGGCTTACGGTTTGTTTCCTACTCCTTCGCGCAAAAGAGATCTGACTCTCGCACCAGCAGATTCATCTATATATAGCTCGATAACCCAGATTCCACTCTGCTCCGACATTAGAACAAATTATTTTTATTATGGGTTACTTGGAAACAGATAATATTTTAAGCAAATTTGACATTTGCAACAACTGATTAAATTTTAGAATATTGTATTAGCAATTTATTGTTAGACAAATTGTGTAAAATTTCACATCCAAATTTGCAATGATGTTGGAAAAACCTGAAAAACCTTATAAAAAGTAATAAATAATAAAATGTAATGAAACAATCCAACAAAAAATCTATTTTTTTTTAGTTTAGTGACTTCAGCTCCTTTATATTTGACTTACTCTAGAGCTCGAGATGACTTTTAGCTTTGGAAGAAGTAAACCAATATAATTCTACACAAGTCATGTCAAACGACTCTAGCCATTTTAAATGATACGCCTACAAAAGATTTTATTTCATTGAACCATAAGTTTAAATGCTTAATTGTTTTTACAAAATAAAGTTTTTTATTTACTGACAATTTATGGAAAATTAATTCGAATTCTTAAGGACTGCTTATTTATAATTATTTAAAAATTTGAAATCATGGACTATCCCTTACATGTACTTGAAATTCTTGTTGCTAAGCAACGAACTTCAAATAGCTGCTATATAAACACGTTTTCAGTTCTTCGAGTAATTCATTGTTATAGTCGAGCTTACATTTAAGCGTGTAGGCATGAGACTATAAATGTAAACATAAATGATTCAAAAAGTAGACACAAAAACGAAAATCGAACAGACACATGAGCGATAGCATATGGAGGAGAGCTTTTAGACTTAAAAAATTATTTTAGTGGTTTGATATTTTTGTTTCCATTTTCTTTGTGTACATGTCTCGCAAACTTAGTAGTAGTTAAATAAAATATAACGTAAGTTGTGATTCGCGATTCATTTCATTTTATTCTGTTGATCGATGAACAATTGCGAGTGTAAATTTTTTTAATCTATCCTTTAATTTAAAGTTTTATTTGCTATCAAAGTAAATCAAAAGAGAAAAGTGAAGCAAAAGTAAGGATAAAATTATATATACGCGTACAAACATTTTGTTGTGGACAGTTATAGCAGCGATTCCACATTTTGGTTGTTATAGTGATAAATCGGTAACTTCTACTTTTTTCCCACTGGAAGTTTTTATATTCATGAAGCAGTCAGTTTTTAACTCTTATTGAGATTGGAAATATCTGATTTTTTGTAAATAATAGTTTTTTCTAAATTTTTACAAGTTTTTATAACCAATTAAATTTTTAATTCTCTAGAACTTTGTTTAAATTTCATATAATACCTAAAGTGAAAAATTATATTTTAACATTATTGCAAAATTGCTGATTTTAATAGTGTGCTTAAAAATAAAATCAACAATTTTAGTCAAGTTGTCTTTTTATGGATAGTCTATAAACTTTATTTCAAAGCTATTATTTTGAATTATTGGCTACATTATATTTTTCAAGGATATATTATCTAGTTTATCCAAAAATAGAATATTCATTATAATTGTATGAATAGCTTTACGGCTTTTCTATGTTTCTCAGATATTATTTCCAATTTATATATCTTAGCTTTTGAAATCCTTTTCGGATACTGATACTGAATATGATAAACTATTAATAATTCACATGTTATTCCTTATCCACATTTACTCTTCTAATACTGTTATAGATTGAAATGTAAATTATAGTGTGAAAGTGCTATTCAAATAAAATAGTAATATTTATTGATTCTAGTTGGAACATACAATGTTCTGTCATTTATAATTTAGATATGTATAATTATTTTATGACATTGATGATTTTTTGTGCATTATTTGGCCTTTAGGCATAAACAAGACATTCAACTCTAATTGATAAAAAAAGATACTTTGGATGCTACAATAAAGTGATTGGTGTGAGCAGAAATAATAATTTGATTTAATTATTTAAAAAGAATGAGTTCACAAGGTAGCCGGTTAGCACAAATTCAGGTAGGTAGAGTATTCAGTTAAATGTCGGTAATTAATAATTTGTTATTAAAAATATTATTCTTGTTGTCACAAATGCAAATTTTAGTCTTTTTCTTTACCACCTACATGATTTTTTTAAGATCTTACTCATTCAAGTGAGTTGAATTCACTCAAAATGGTCATGGAATAAAAATCTTCCGTTATAAAATGATGTGATTATTGAAAATCTTACGATGTTATTGAAAATTCTTAAACTTCAATTGATTATTTATTGTCTGCTTATTCATTTATCATTGTCAAAACCAAATAGTTTCCATGCTTCCTGAAGAGTTTTTGGTGCACAAATATTTCCATGATAATTTCGATGTCATGCCTTGAATGAATACACGCACTTTTTCAATTGTGATCAGGCTCTATTCAATGACTTTTTATACAGTGCTGCTTAAAAATTGTTTTTGTCTAATTAGATTTATCTTTAAAGGTTTGTTAGTAATAATAATTAGCTAGACATAACATCAAAATTGATATCTTCACTTTCTATCATCTATTGATCTCTTTGCAAACGAAATATTTTTCAAATACCGTCAATAACATTTCCCGCTTTTATGTATTTCATAATGACCTTGAACTTCATGAAAGTTTAAATGCATGTATCAATAAAAAATAAGCGCAAGCAAAAATGGAATAAAGGAAATTTATTGCATATTGATCCCGAATAGACAAAGAGCACGCTATGAGCGCGCTCAAATTTAGTGCTGAGCATGCTCGCGTGAGCGTGCTCTTTCATACGAAAAGTGATGCCACTACTTTACGCTAATGAGCACGCTTTTTGAGCATGCTCTGAGCACGTTATTTTAACAAATTTTGAGCATGCTCAAATTGTTGTGTGACACGCAACATTTTTTATGTCATATGATGTGACATTTGAGTACACTCAGTGAGTGTGCTCGTGAGTGTACTCTGAGCATGCTCACTGAGTGTACTCACATTATTTTATAATTTTCAATAAAAATTAAAATTTGAAGTTATTTTTTTGATATATTTTACTATTGTAAGGTTTTTAAATGTTCTAGAATAAATTTTGTTCATTAATAATCTGAAAAAGACACTTAAGAAAATTTTGGATTTTACCTGGATTCGAACTCACGACCGCTCTGTTGCTAAGACCATTACCATAACCATTACACCACTGCTGCAATTTACCTTTATAATTTATTATGGCAAAAACTCATATATAAACTATAACAAAGTTAAATACTTCGAAATTGATCTCAAAATGTTTTTAAACAATGTTTATAGTTAAAAAGTAGATAACTATATATAATTCTAGAAACTTTGCCTTGTGAAGTATATACAAAATCATGAGCATACTCAGAGTATGCTCAATATATGTGCTCTTGAGCACGCTCAATAAAATGTGAAATCTTAAAAAAAAATGTTTTTTAGAGCACATTCACAATGTGCTCACGAGTATGCTTAAGAGTGAGCATGCTTAAATTTGAAAATTGAGTATGCTCATGAGCATGCTCAATAAAATTTGAAATATTATAAAAATTGTTTTTTTTGTGAGCATATTCACAATGTGCTCACGAGTATGCTTAAGAGTGTACTCAAGTGAGCATGCTTAAGTTTGGTAATTGAGTATGCTCATGAGCATGCTCTCGAGAATGAGTATGCTCTCGAGCATGCTCAATAAAATAAAAAATTTAAAAATATTGATTTTTTTGTGAGCATATTCACAATGTGCTCACGAGTATGCTTAAGAGTGTACTCAAGTGAGCATGCTTAGATTTAGGAATTGAGTATGCTCTCGAGCATGCTCAATAAAATAAAAAATTTCAAAAAATTTGTTTTTTTGTGAGCATATTCACAATGTGCTCACAAGCATGTTCAACTGAGTGTGCTAGGGTGAGCACGTTAAATGATGATTTTGAGCATGCTCATTAACGTGCTCACAAAAGTGAGCACGCTCTTTGTCTATTCGGGGATATTGTGTGATTTAATTTAATTTTTTATAGAAACCAAAGAAACTGTAAAATGTCTATAAACTCTTTTAGTTCATGCATGAATTTAGAGGTGACCATATTTGGTTGAGAGTATTCTTACTAAGCTGATTCATACGCCAACAATCTTTTTGTGAATATATATTTTACTGAACAATGTATAAAGTATGTGAAAGACTGACTGTGTAGTTTAAAATTATAAAGCATTGTTTAATAAGAATCTAATTTTCAATATTTATTCCATTTTTGGATAGTCTAATTTTTATTTTCGAAAAATTCAACGCTATAAATATTAATTGGATTGATTAAAATCGAAAAAAAAAGCAAGAAAGTTTTAACAACAGAGTTTGTAATGACGTCATAAGCAATTTTTAAAATATAGCTGTAGCTAAATGTGATTCATCCGTTGAGTTTATAAAAACCATGTGTGAGTGTCAATAAAAGAGATGATGATTTCATACACAAATGCTCTTTAAAGTCATACGTCTTTCATCTCGACTGCATGCCTTTTTATAGACAAAGATCTTCATACAGACCAATTTTTTATTTTTCTTCTTTATATTTGCACTCATTGATGTATATCCTATTGTTTTAGTTAATGTTTCAACACTATATAATCAATTGAATTTGAAATCTTACTGAAATCTACTTGACAAAAAAAAATGTGGCTGTATAAGTGTCTATAAAATAACGATTAAAAGAACATGAGTTTTATTAAATTAATGTAATCACTTTTGATTATTGATTATTATGGGCGTTATACATAATCAATTATGAGCGGAATAATGTATCATAGCATTGCATAGCATAACGAAAGAGAATGACAGAAAATTGATAATTTATTTTATATTCAATGAGCAGATGCGGTATCAGCAAAAAGTGATGCAAGAAAATACTCAAAAGAAAAGTGATCTTTATGGCTATGATGATACACAACAAAAATTGCTGACATCTAGTTTAGGAGCAGGAAAAGTAAATCTATTTTTATAAGGCATACTTGAAGGAAATTGATAATTTTTTTTATTGAAAAGGTTCGTGCAATGTTTGATGAGAGAAGAAGCAGGATTACAGCTGGAATCGACAAAAGTTATCTTCTTGAACCAATAACTGTAGATACTTCAAAGGCAACAAAACAGCAACGACAGGTTATTGGACCATCGAAAAGTTCGCGCGATCAAAAAATGCCAAACTATACAAAAGTTATTGTGCCTCCATTACAAAATCGTTTAATCAATCATGATATTAATGGAAATAATCATATTACTGGTAGTGATGTATTAGATCGAAGTGTGAAAACATGTGATACTGTTCTAGTCAATTTTAAATCAACAACAGCTTCAAAGCTTTCAACAAAATCAAATCCTGTGACTGAAAAAAATGGATCAAATATTAATTCTAATCGGAAGCCTCTTGCAATGACAACAACATCAGCACCCTTAAAAAATGTTACTAACCAGAAGGTACTTATTTTTTATTATCACAAATATTTTTGAGAACCATTAAGATTTTAACATAGCAGAAAGCGATGATTTTTGATTAATTGAAAAATAAATTAATTGTTCATATAATCTGATTGAGTAATCAACCATTTTTAACGGAATTATTAAAAAGAATGAATCGAAAATCGTTTTATATACAGCCAAGTCCCTCGAGATCAACAAAGAGTGGGAATAGCATAAAATCATCAAATTCAGTTCGAGCAACCACATATGCAAGTCCTAAACCAATTGCTACGAATAATAAAACGCTATCAGCAAAATCTTCTCAACAAAATAGCTTTGACGAGGTTGATGACACGCCAGTTCCTGAAGGTTTAATTCGCTGTCCTATTTGCAAGCGAAATTTTGCTGAGGATCGAATTGAAAAGCATGAAGTTATATGTCAAAAAATGAAAACGAAAAAACGGAAAACATATGATTCATCAAAGAAACGAGTTCAAGTAGGCAATTTGGGTTTTACAATTTTATTATAATGACTGTCATACTTGTTTTGTTTAGGGTACAGAGGCAGAAACTTATAATAAGAAACCTTTGACTAGAGTTGGTGTGAAAAGTGCAACAACATCTACGAATAAAAACAGCAATTGGCGAGTTAAACACGAAGATTTTATAAAGACGATTCGTGCTGCAAAGGAAATGCAAGCATATGTTGCTAAAGGAGGAAAACTCTCTGACTTGCCTCCTCCACCTCCTTCAGTTAATCCAGACTATGTTCAATGTCCAAATTGTTCTCGTCGATTCAATGAAGCTGCTGCATCTCGACATATTCCTATTTGCCACACAATCAGTAAGCCTAAACCTAAAACAGGTGGAACTTTAGCTTCAAAAACGACCAGTTCTATAAAGCGACGTTAAAAAAAAGTACTGATCGAAGTGTTTCTGACCTCAAACTAATTCATTAATTATACTGTATTTGTGACACAATCTAAAAATTTGCATATTCCAAATCTAATCAATTTTTCTGAGCGTGTTAAGCATCAATCCATATATTTTTTTGTGCAACGAACATGCCGATAAATAAAAACATATTAAAAATTATTTTCTAATAAAATTGAGACTTCTTTTAATATTCAGTTTCAGAATTCAATCATTTTTATTCAAGACAGCAAAATTTTATAAATCAACAACAGTTTTCCATTCTTCAAATAAATCCATAGAATCTTTAAAGGCATTAATGTCTAAAATAATGTTTTCACCATCATTCTTGACATGAAGGAGATTTAATTTTGGATTGTTATCAACATTTGTGTTTTCGACTTTCTTTTCATTTACACCTATGACTTGAATTGAAAGTTTTGGTGCTTTCAGCAGAATATCATTATAAAACTCCTGGACTTCCTTTAACTTTAATCGTCCAATCATTTCAGCTTCAAAATCAAGACGTGTAAAAAGATATTCGTCGCTAGAAATTTCTGAAAAAAGTCTATTATTTTCATGCTCCATTTCAACTTCTTCCATCATTTTAAGCTTAATTAATGAACTTTGATTAGCTTCAAATTCATCAACTGTGAGCTTTAATAAGATATCCTTAAAATCTTCATTCAGAAACTTTTCGACACGTTCATTTACAGAAATTGTTGAGTGCTTCTCTTCTTGGACTTGCAATGTTATCGTGAATCCAATTATTCCATTATTTACACGGTGACTGCATGATACGGAATATCCAAATTGCTCTTTAGTTCTGAGAATATCAAATAACGGTTCTTGCATTAGCTTTTCAATAAATTCGATAAGACATTGTGTCTTTATAGTACTTCTTCCAATTTGATAGTAATTTGTAATGGTCGAATTTTTATCATCAGGTAAAAAGCTTTTAACGTACATCATGTTTGGCAATCCTTTCGGAATTTTTCTAGCTCTTGACACCAATAATTTTTTATCGATATTCTTTGTTATCTTCAGATTTTCATTCAATTTATCAGCTATCTTATAAGCTTCTGATTTATCAAAATTTCCAAGAATCATAATTTTGACATAAAGTTCTTCCAGAAAGCTTGTTGCAAAATTTACAATATCATCGAACTTTATATCCTCCGTCATCGCATATTGATCTAGACAAAATTGATGCTGATTTTCCAAAATTGACAATCTTAGGTCCCGAGTCACAAACTTAGAATTTATAAGATTGTTATATCCATTCTTCCTGCATTGTTCACGAAACGTTTCAAACACTTTTGATTCTATTTTGTTTGGAATTTCTTTCAATTCTTTAGTAATTATATCCAGCAAAAGCAACAGTTTCTCGTTATATCCACTTAATTTAATTAGCAATCCTTTTTCAGCAGCATTAATACTATATCCAAGGCCGGCACAAATTGCTGGATATAACTTTTCATCTAAATAATATTTTAGGATTAACGAAAACATTGACGTGAGAACCATGTTACGAGCATTTTTAAATGTATTTGGTGTTTCCAAATAGCAGTTAATAAATCCATGTGGTAACAAAAATTTACTATCAAGTTTGTACCATAATTCCATCTTTAGATTTTCTTTAATTTTTTCAGGTAATATTATGCAATGCGATTCACGATTTTCTTGAGATTTGTTGTAAACGATATCAAAATTAGAACAGATGAATTCGTTAGGCAATGGCATAAAAAAATCTGATGATAACTGACGATTATTCCATAACTTCCGAATATTTTCAGGAAAATCAAGTTCGTCATATTCTGTTCCGAACCATTTCTCAATCTTTGGATATTGATGATGTTTATCAGTTAGTATCAACAGGTTAAATTTGCCTTCATTAAGAATCTCAATTAGTTCCTTTACCATTTTACCGTCAAAATGGAAAAATTTGTCACTTCCAGTTATTATATCAGGAGCATCATAATAGATCATATTAACAGCATAATCTTCAGTATTTTCACTCGACGTTTTTTCTTCCTGATAATCAAATGACGTGTCACGAATCTTTTTGAGTTCCAAATATGCCTTTTCATGATTTTCAAACGGAGTATTCTTAAGCATTAACAATACCGAAAAGATAGCTTGAAGAACGACTTCAATATTGTTGTAACCCTTTTCTGTCAATAGAATATCGATGCCGAATAGAGTGTACAATGAATTTCCTTCAAATGATTGGTCTTCAACACCGGCCTCAACGTGCAATGCTAAAAGACTGTAAAATATTGTCATTAATAAAGAGGTTGCTGCACGAGAGATAAGACAATTTGCTTTAAGTTTGCAATGGAAGGCTATTAATGGAACGAAAGCGCTGTATTCCTGAACTTATATAACATAAAACGGATTTAAGAATGTAATAATATGCAAAAATTGTTGCACAATTTAAAAATCAAATATTACTTACTTTCGTTTAAAATAGCTGCTTAAACTTCCCGAACCTTCGTGCTGAATAATGTATGCTAGGTAATCGTGTGGTTTGGATTTATAGTGTGTTTTCATTGATGGCATGACAAATGTCATTAGTAATTTGTATTTATCGCTTTTTGGTTTAATGTAGAAAATTTTATCGTGAAAATCAGACTTGAAGTAGTCAAGATAGGATAAAGAACTACGGTTCTCATTTAATGTACTAGTTTTAATTTCAGAGAAATTTTTTTCAACGAGATTTTGAAGACTATCCAAAGATTCTGATGATTCAACACAAAGATACATATTATTGGCAACATAATATTTAGAACGGAATTCGTGTGCTGCTGCATATAATTTGTCACTATCGATTTCTTCTTTTAATGTCTTCAAATTACCCCAAGTGAATGTAGATGCAGGTCCATTACCTTTTGAAGCAAATAATTGAACGATTCTACTGTCGTCATCATTAACGTTATTTTGAAATTCTGACTCAATAGCTTCGATCTCTCTTGATATGCTATCAGGCAACATTAGTGGTGCCACAAATAAGGAACTAAAGCGATTCATGGCTTCTGATAAATGTTCTTCAACCACGTCAAAATAAAATAGTGTATGTTCGCATTCAGTTAATGCATTACTTCCTCCACCATTTGCACTTAAATATTGGTCCAGCTCATTTTCTTTTGGATATTTTTCACTTCCCATAAATATCATGTGCTCTAAAGATAAAATTAATTTTAGTATGCAAGCAAGTAATAGATTTGATTTGACATGTAAACTTACCAACAAAATGTGCGAGTCCCTGTATATCATTTGGATCATTGAAACTTCCAGTACCGATTGATAAAGCAACAGCTGCAAGTTTTTCTCTCTCGTGTCCTTCTTCTTCACCTTCTGATGCTGATTCGTCTTCTTCTGATTCGGATGCAGACACATTGTGATCATCACTAGTATCCGAATTTTCTTCAGCTTTATGTTGAATAAGCAATGCTTTTAGTCCATTTTCAAGATAAATTAATCTGTATTCTTTTCGATCACTTTTTGACTTGATTGGAGTTTCCAATAAACATGTATTCATTACTTTTCGAATTTTACTCTTACTTTCTTTCATTGTAGCTCCTCCGTTTCGTTTAATGGTTTTAAGCATAATAAATGATAATCGTCGGAAATTCAGGTTGTGAAATTTTTTTATAACTTTGTTTACAAAATGTCAAAATAAATCAAAAAAATAATAACGGCTTGGTAAATTTTGAAATATTTTTGTTTCTCATTTTTGAAACTTGTTTTCTAAAACGTAGCTTTATAATCCACTGTGATCGTGACATAGTAGAGAGAACTCAGGTTTGTTTTATTACGGTATCATTTGAAAAACACGTGATGAATGTGCTCAGAAATTTGAACTTATTTCTACCGTTATGAAATTAATTTCTGAGTGAAATATTCTTCTATTTGATTCAATAAGGATAAGTTAATCAAATTAAGTAAGGTATATTATAAACCATGTTCATATTTTGTATAAGACACTTAATCAAGTGGTTCGGATCCCACTATAAACTGTAGGTCTAAAAGGTGTGATACAATAGATTCTGTTCTAATTTGAATCGCAGTGCCTCCAGCTGAAAGGCTGGGCCCTTCACACATTATTATTATGTGTAATGCTATTTTTTGCAACTTGATTCGCATTAACTTATTAATCATAAAGGTACTGATTGCTACAACAAAAATGCGCTAAGTCCCTCGATCAATAACACGAGGCATTTGTAATTTTTTCAAAATATACTTGCACATGTTTAACGTTTTTTGATGAATTTGAAAATTACTTGATCAAGTTATAAGTAAAGTTAAACATATTCAAAACTAATAGATTCTGTGGAATATTGAATAAGCTGCAATATGAATCAGAGAAGAAAGACTTGGTTCCCTTCAAAAAATCAATCCCTTACTTTTTATATGCAGCCAATAATCGTTCTGTGTCATCAACGCATAGATCTACCAATGATCTTTCCAACCTCAGGCAAAAGGATATCAACACTTTCGGTCAATTCTTCATTTTCAAGATATCTTGCTTTGTAGAAAGCATTTATTCACTTTCGGTCAAATACAAAATTGGCTCATTAATTTTCTATCATTTTTCTCTCGGATGCTTCAAGTTGACTGTATTCTACTGAATGATGTCTATTGGGAGATTGTTCTGTACGAAAAATATGAGTAATTAAGTGTACATCATGTTTAAAACCGGTTATTAATTTTTCAAATGCTTTCAAGTAGAGAAATGAATATTGCAAGTCGTTTTTTGTTTGCCAGTTTCATCATTATGCGGATTTGCCCATAAATTGTTTTGTTTATGAAAAAATAATTCGTGAAATTTAAATAACTAGACAATTGGAGCTTAAATTAAGATTTAAAAACAGATTAAGATTTTTAAACATAAATTTGAGCTGAAAACGTGTTATAATGAATCCTCGAGAGTTGATTTTAATTAATTTAAAAAGACAAGATTTGGATTATGCAGTAAAGGTACGTGAAGCATTAATTCATGCGGATGATGCTCTAAGGAAGAAAGATATCGTGTTCGGAAGACAAATCATTAGTGAAATCATATTTATGGATAATAAGACAAGCCGATTAAATAGGACTCAAGAATTGCAACTTATTGTTGCTTTATTAACTGACTTTTTCACAAGAGATGATCCTACTCGACTAGGCCTATTCTTCAATATATTTGAAGTCGGAAAAAATAGCAGAAAATTCATTTTAATAAAATTTATCATTATATCGATCGCACTTCAAAATGGACCGGTAAAAATTGTCTTAATTCAATGTCAATAATATGCCTGTCATTATTCCATTGTGTATTTTAGGCTCTTAATGCTGTAGGAACTTATTTACTAGACTCATCATTACAGGAAATACGAATAGCTGCCGATCTTAATAGATTACTTATCAATGAAATCACATATTACTCCAACAACTCACTAGCTAAGTTAAAATCACTGCCTACATTATCACCGTTGTTTACAAATTCTTTATGCTTAATTTTTGCTGAAACCTACAAGGACACACTACCAACTCAAATTATTGGAGAATTAATTACTGAATTTATGACACTATCTCCATTTATTTATATATTTAATATACCAAGTCATGTAGAAGTCGGAGCATTTTTGTTAGGAACATTCTTTCGTTGGACAGTATTAAGTGAATTGTACGAGGAGGCACCATCATTAAGCAAACTTCATTTAAAGATTTTAGAATGTTTAAGTAGCGTAGACATAAAATCACCATCAAAGCCAATTGTTTACACCAAGTTTTTGGAAGTCATTATCGATCAAATTTTAAAAGCCTCAAAAGTCATAGATCCAGAAAAAATTCAGAAAAGTTTGGAAAAATTTGCACAATTAATACAAATATCTAAAAGCTTTTTATACGGAAATATTCCATTGTTAATGGACAGATTAAAAACACTTCCTAAAAATCCGTTAATGGAATTAGTATTAAGACTCTCTTAATGATTTGCTTTAAACAATACACAATAAAGTTTATTAAGTTCAATAAGGTTTAAATTTTCGGTTTTGTCTCATTGCTTGCAACTTTGATTTATCGTCTTCAAACTTCTTCCTTAATTCTATAAGTTCCTGCTTTTTATTCTCACGAGCTTCAAACGCATAGATTCCAGATATTTGTTGAAGATTCCTTTTGGCCTTTTTTCTCTGATTTTGCATCTTCTCTTCTAATCGATGAACGACAGTTTCGCTTTGCTTAAATCCACCACTTTTTTTACCCACTTGTATCCATCCATCTTCGTCGGCATCTGTATTATCCTGATTTTTTTCAGCTTCTAATAATTTGTCAAAATGCTTCATATATTCTTCAATTTCTAACTGCATATCATTATAGTTGACAATTTTTTTATTATGTTCGTCAGTCCATTTTTCGATTCCAGTTAGTGTTTCAGCCATTGGTGGAAGTTCAGTTAACGAGAAAATTGCATCCAATGAACTTGATTTTTTAAACACAATAAATCCAATTAAAAATTTAAATGGAACTGTGTCATTAAAAAACTTTGAAGGAACGTTATATTTTGTTTTATGCTCATTGCTGTAATCATCAATTAATGTTATATTCTCGACATCTCCAACAGATTTAAATACATTTAAGAGCGAGTCTTTTGTAGCATACGGTGGAATATTAAGGACAAGCAATGTTTTTGCAGATGGTTTACTTGACGACTTTTTCTCAGACCTATACTTTTTAAGAAAGATTTCGTGTGCATCTTTTTCGTCGTCGCTTTCTGAAAATCTAAGCTTTAAAACTAAGAAATATATGCATAATTAGTAGTATATTTACATTAGAATTAAGCGTTATTTACCTTTAAATTCACTAATCTTTTCTATGGCTTCAAAACTCATATTTTGTAGTTAAATTATTATTTTGTTGGAACCAAGAAGTTCTTTTATTTATTTTTTTTTTTTTCTTTAAAACTAAGAACCACATGGCATTTGAATGTTTAAAAACCGTTATTTTTGCTGGATTACAAGCAAATCATAATTTATTATTGAGCCTCGACGATTTTATTGGATTTTTGCTGAAAATGACCCATTATTTAACAGCAATATGACATTGATTTTGCACAATGAATTATTAAATTATGTTTTAAATTGTGGTCCATTAAATTTAAAAAATCACGTTTATACTGTGGAATCTTTGTCATCTGAAATTAATTTAAATAAGTTTTTGAAAATTTCTGCGTCGTCCCTAATTTAATAACTGTCTGCATATGAAACCTTTTGATTTATGCATTAATTTTGTTTACAAACAAAATGTTGAGTATATGATATGCACATGAGAATTGACAATAATAATAATAAAAGGCAAGCGCATGCTCACCAAAAAAGGATAAAGAAAAGTTATGAGGAATTGAAGAAAATTTTTGTTTATAGTGTTAAATTAGATAAACTTTATTAAAATGATTTCTGTGAGCAACCATGAATTTGTTGAGCTTCGACATCAGCAGCCGCAAACATGCAAAACACATTTTGTTTTTACGGATATTGATATTGCTGATTTAGACATTCCAGAAATTAGCAGTGCAAAATATCAGTTGAAAAATGGCAATGCTTACAAGAAAGACACTTCTGATTCATCAATTGCTTCAATGTCAAGAAGTAAAAAAGGAAAGAAAATTGTAGCCATAACTGTCATTATGCTAGGTTTAATTTTGCTGGGTGCAGGTAAATCTCCAAAAAAATTTATTTTCTATTGAATACACAGTATTACGAGTATTACTATATATTTTAAGGTATTCCAATTGGATTACAGTTAAGAAGTTCATCTCTACTGGAAGCTCGGTTAAATTTTATTCGTCGACTTCTAAGTGAATGCATGCTTGTCGGTGGATTTTTCAACACTCATTCTGAATCAAATTTTACTCAAAATTTTTATGAGATTAAGGAAAGCATGATTGGAGCAGTTTTGCTGCCTATACGTATTCCATGTCAAGCACAATATTTGGATGCTGTTCAGTTGGCTTTAGAAGGAATAGATCAAGCCACTCGAATGGTAAGTCGTACAAAAGGAATGCGTATAGTTTTATCAGCTGAAGAAATGGAGCAAGCACATGAGAATGGTGAAATTGGAGTTTTATTAGGACTTGAAGGTGGACATTTATTAGGATCAAGTGTAGCTGTACTGAGAATGTTTTATTCGCTTGGTACAAGATTTATTTCCCTTTCAAGTTATGAGTGCTCAAGTCCATGGATATCAGCTGCAACAACAAAAGAACCATTGTTTGAAGAAAATATCCCGACTTCGATAACTCAATTTGGAAAGGTAAGTGTCGCGGGAAATACGGTTTTGAAAGAAAGCAAATATGTTTTAAAATTCACTTGCAATGATAAGATTTATAGTATGGAGATAAAGAAAACGCCTATCTTCTTCCAAAAGATGAAGGAAAAAATCTGGAATCCGAATTAAGTGATTTACTCATCTTCCTCTTTTACTTCTTTTTTGTCCTATTCAATTCCATCTATTTTAAGTTATTCATGAACTCTTGAGTATAAAAATCATGAGAGAAAAACTTTCTGAAGTGTAGATAGAGCAAGTCCATTCGAATTGAAGAAAGAAAAAAAAGAATGAATAAGAAATATAAAGAAATGTAAATTTGCATAAAATTCATTTTGTGTCTTCGTAGATTGTTCTCAAGGAGATAAATCGCTTAGGGATGCTTGCCGAGATTTCTCATTTGAGTGAACCGAGTATGATGCAAGTGTTAAATTCTGCTAAAGCACCATTGCTTGTGAACAATGCTATGCCAGCAGCAACAACATCTCCAAACATAACCAACATCATTCCTGATCATGTTTTAAGGTAAGTCACTACTTAAGGTTTTTAACTATTATCAAGCTTTAATTTTTTTTTACTTGTAAATTCACACGTTATTCTTAATTATTAAATTGTACAACTTTGTAATAATAATGTTTTTCACATCTATGAAAAAAGGTTCCATAAATTCCCTCTCAATCAATACATTTATTATGCTATAACATATTATGCTTTCAATGCATTCAGTTGTTACATTTATTCAGTTTTTCATTCAAGATTAATTCAAATTTTTTTTATTCTCATCACTCTTTTCTACGAACTATCGTTCGTTTTTTACAAAAAAAAAAGTTTTAATGACAATTTACAACCACGATTATAGCATTCTTTTTTTATATCAACTAAAGTGCTTTCCTCTTCTATTTTCTGCTTGTTCGCTTTCAAAGCGAATATAAATAACCGACAATTTAATTTTTCTACTCATTCTTCTTCCTTTATACAAAAAAAAAAGGTTTTTCAACGATTGTATCCTCCCATTGATGGTGCATTTTTCTGTATCTTGCATTTTTTTATATTTTCAATTTTTGTAATGGATAATAGATAAAATGCAATCGGAATTGGAATTAAAATGACAAAAAATTTAGAATTATTGCCAAAGGAGGTGAAATGTCCACCCAAACATGAAAGGATTTTGTAGTAGCGAAAAAAGAGAACTGACTTTTTTTATATTTTTTTTTTACAAAATGTTGAAAAATAACAAAATTATTTATGTGTTTAGGTTTTATGCTTCTTGACTGTCGCTACATTGTTTTTTTTTTTTATAAAAAAATCATTCAATAGAATAAATGATAATATTGAAGATAAAAGTACGTGTCAAAAATATAAAAATTCATAGGTTTATTAAAAAATATAATTACACATTTAGCCTATGATTCTGATAAATACTGGTTAGATACTTCCTAGTTATGCCATCAATAAATATATTTCAGTCGAAGAATCAATCGTTGAATGAGGAGTCATCGTTCTTTACTGCTATTTGTAGTCTGTAAAATATTTTTCCTTTTTATATATTTCAAAAAAATCTTCCAACATTCTCACACTCTTCTTTCCGTTTTCACAGCATCTTAGCAATTTTCTTGTCCTGACTCAATTTTTAAATTCTTTGCTCATCGCAAGAAATGACTCGATTCCGGTTCCTCTATAAATATAAAACATTTTTTTGCTGCTACACTACTGCAATTTCTACAGTTGCAAAGTTGCCCGTGGCGGCAAAGAGCGAGAAAAAAAAAACGAAAACGAATTATTGATTTCTTGGCAAATTTCCATTGCCAATTTTTACGAAAGATATCTGTGGTTTCAATAGTTGTTCCTGTTAGTGCAATTTTTTCCCGTTCTTTCTTTTTCAATAATGATTTTTTATGCAACGATGACTTTCCAAAATAAACGAAAAGCATTTAAATTAAAACATAGGACGGTTGTCGTTCGGAGAAATAAAAAGTGGAAGTTTTATACTTCTGCTTCAAAGTTTTAAAGTATGATTAATTTATTAGGGTATTTTGCTAATGCTTATATGCTCATCGATATGAAAAAGTTTAATATTCTTAATTGTATCAAGACTATAATTGAGATTTACTCAAAAGGAATAACTGCTTTTAAATTGAAAGTTAAAGAAGCAAATTTTAATTAAAATAAAATTTCAAAATCTCATTTCTACCTCATTTTTGCTTTTCTGATTACATGTAATCAAACTGCATACTAATGTTTTAATTTTAATGAGTTCTCTCTTACATACATATATAGAGAAAATCTCTTGATTCACTTCACTAAAATCCATGATTCATGAAACGAAAACTTTTTTTTAATTTCCTATGAGCTTCGAATCAATCTCAATAGAGGAAAAATCAGATGCACTTCAAAAATTCTTCGTGTGTAAATAAAAAATTGAATTTCATTCAAGTGAAACTTGAAAGTTGGGGTTAGTTTATAGTTGCTGATACATTGTATGCTCAGGTTTTTTTATCTTTGATATTATTCTAAAACTTTTCTGAAATCCATCGAAACAAAATAAGGAATAAAACTTATTTTATTCCAAATAATCACTAAATGAAATTAACTAGATACAAGATTTTACCGCATGTGACTTTATAATGGGATTGCATCTGTAAAGTGCCACTTGATTAGATTTTATTTTATATACCCACATATATTTTTCCATGTTCCTTCTTTCTCATTCGATTCCTTTTGCGAAACATGAACATTGATCCTTTATTCGCTTCATTTGCTTTTCTCACTATCCATCTCATGTATTTTTGTTTCTGTTTTTACAGTGCATTGAGCAGTAATGGTGGCGTGCTCACAATCAACATTGATAAGTTATCGGTAAAGGAAGCGATACACAACATAAATTACGTACGTGCTCTTGCTGGGATAGAACATGTTGGTCTCGGTACGACGGTATCACCAAGAAAGTATGCATTGCTCTTGGCAGAGCTTGCTCGTGACAGATTGTGGAATAATGCATCTTTGAAAAAGCTTGTAGGCGGAAATATTGTTAGGATACTACGAGAGGTATGTATAGCAAACAAAAATAAATTTTAATATACGAAAGCGCAATTGATTGATTATTTCTATACAAAACATCGTACCTAATGAACGTTTTCTTGCTTATTGCATAACAGGCTGAAGCAAACAGGAATAAAGTGGCGTTAAGTGAGGATTGGATTCCACCTGAAGAAATCGAAGGAAATGCATATTGCCGTTATCCAGAATCGTAAATTGCATTCAAATCCCTAGTTTCTATAGAATGTTGATTTGCATCTACATAATATTGTAATAATGCAAAATCCAAGAAAATAAGTGTTTTTAAAACTTAATTAACTGTTCAGCATGTATGTTCAAGGTTTATGAAAAGTGGTGACAGTTATATGTAAAATTTTATTGAATAATTCTTTATTAAGTTGAAGATCAGAAAATTATCTTTAAGAGAAATTTCGATAGTTTCTGTAATTAAGTAAGTTAAACTATACAGTTTTTAACAGTGTCCAAAAAGTTTAAGTAGTTGAATTTAAATGCTAGACTTCGATTGAAAAAAAAAACGGAACTTGGTTGGGTTAAAAATATTCGTATTAAAATTCCATTAATTTTGGAAAGTCCGGAAATAGAATTGCAGAAATTTTTAAATTCCGTTTGGATAAGATTCTCTATAAATGAATCACAAAATTTTGAATGCATATCAATGAGGAAGTTTTTAAGCAAACCATAAAAAGCTATTGATGCTCGTTAACTATCTGAATTGAACATTTACATATTTAAATTTCTATCCAAATATCTCTATCCATCTCTCTCTAAACTAAAAATGAATAAAATTTTATCGTTTTAAAAAATGAAAGAAATTGCAAGAAAAGAAAAACTTCCAATTTGTAAAATTATTTACCATGATTCCTCATCATGAAATTGACTTCTGTTGCACCATGGGAAACATTTATTTTATTTCATATATTTATTTATAAGAGAAGGAAAAACTACTCCTCTTTCCGACATTTTAATCTTAATCAGAGTTCAATCGGAAAAGGAGTTTTTCGTTTATTGAATTTTTTTTTTCTCTTTCAGAAAATGTTTTTTGGCAACAATTTCACCAAGAATAAAATAATATAAAAAATGTACACTGGCATAAAGAATAACAAAATAAATCACGATTTTTAAAACAATTTTTTTGTTTGCTGAATATAAAAAAAATAAATTTTATAAACAACAAATTGGAATATTTTCTTTTACTCCGCTTTTGCAACTACATAATAGAAAAGTAAAAACAAGAGATGAAAGCGGAATAAAATATTATAAAATAAAATTTCTGTAATATCACTTCAAGATGAAAGAAAGAAAACAAATAAAAATTGAAAAATACGAGTTAGGAAAGAGTTTTCCTGCTTTTGAAATTTGAAAATGTCAAATTCATTTTGATTTCACTTCATCTTCGGCTTTTAGTGAAAATAAATTTGATAAACGAGAAACATCAAAAGAAAATTGATTTGTTCGATTAAATTTTTTTGCTTTATTTTAAATTACAGGTTTATCAATTGATAAGCGTCTATATTAGTTTGAATCTTGATAAAATAAAACAGGCTTCAAAAACAATAAAAAAAAATTGACACAGCAATTTTTTTAATTATTCTTTACACCTTTTATGATTCAAAATCATCACATTATGGAGCTGAATACTGAGAAAAATTACGATTTTTTTAAAACGTCGAGTTTATAATTTTATATAAAATGTACTGAATACTTTTTATAGCAGCAATCTTCATATCTAGATTGACAGCAATTTATTCAAGCGTTTCAATGAAGACCTTAAATTTGTTTTTATTTTTTATCGTTTCTATAAGTTAAGAGTACACCGACAATTTTCCATTACATTTTAGTATTGCGACAATCAATATATCGAGCTTTTGTTATTAATAAAAAAAAAGTTCATGCCATTTTTCCCTTGAGATGGACTTGATGAAAAATATTAAATTTCAGTGAAATTAATTATTATAAGTAAATTTATTAAATGCCATTCATATTTTGTGTTATAAAATTGAGAGAAATTTTAATTAAATCAGACCGACAAGCAGCAACAGCGAAGGTGTAAATCCATACACTAGAAGTCATGAGATTTTGTTTACGAGTCAAAGAGTAAACTGAAGATTTATTTGAAATTATACTTAATTTTTTTGGGAAGGAAATTATTGAAAATAAATGTGGACATTTCAATTAATTTTAATTGTTTACAAGTTAACAAGTTCGTTTGAATTAAAAATACAAAAAAGAAAACATCTTTCATCATTTTGCTATTAAAACTTGTTCATACGAAAGGTTCACTTAAGATGAAGTAAATTAAAAGTTTGTCTTCAAAAATGGCTTGAAAGCTTGTTTTCATTTTCGAAATGAAGCACTTGTGAATGAAAACTTTTTCAAAAACTTTGGCAATTAATTTTCAAGTATCCTTTCCTTGCGTTTCATTCTTGTTATTTTTATCTAAAAGCATTTGACAAATCGATTAAAAATTGAAGATGATTTGATTTGTACAAATTGAAATTATGTAATTTCAGCTAATATTATTGAGGTTTTTCAAAAGACTTATTATAATGAAAAAAATTATTGGATCTCTTCATATTAAATTTTGGAGTTGGTAATTGGATGATCATAGACAAAAACTATAAAATGAAATGGACAAGCATTTTAAAATTGAATCAAATAAAAAAAAAAGTAAAATTGTTATTCCATTTCAGAACATCTTCTATTTTTAATGTTAAATAACAGCATGAATGCAAGAGGAAGCAAAAAGAAAACGAAAATGATAAATCATCGAATGGTGAGAATGCTGAGTTGTTGCACAGAAGGCTTAAGGAAATTCTCTTTCTATTTTTTTTTTGCAACAGAATAATTTTTTTTTCTTCATCTTGCTTCAACTTCCGTTACAGAAATTTATGCAGCAAAATGAAATAATTTTTTTTCTGCTTTTCCTTAAATTGCATCTCGGAGAAAAGTTTTCAAATAATTTTTTTTTGCCTTTTTCCTCTTATGAAAGAAATACATTTTCTTACATCTTTATTTTTCATGACATTAAGCAGAAGAGAGAAAGGGAAAAGTAGCAATAGCATCAGTAGCATTACAATTTCCATAATTTTTCATTACGAAAAATATTATTTTCCTTTTCCTGTTTATTATCGTTAAGTTTCATCATTTTTAATCTTTTGTTCCGGAGAATGAAAGGCAAGAAGCAGCAACAAAAGAAAAATAAGAGAAATGAATTGTGGGATGAGTATAAACATTCAAATCTCATAAGTAAGAAAAAATAAAATAGAAAAATAAAAAGAAACTTGAAAGATTCACAGAGCTGAAAGCTTTTGCTCGTAATTGAAGATAAATGAATTTTATAAAGCTTTTATGTAAAACAAAACAAGAGAACTTCCTTGAAATATTTTGTCGTTGTTGTTGTTTTTCATTAGTCTATTTATCTACTTACTAATAAGAAAAAAGGAATACGATGTGTTCAGATGATTGTAATTAAGACATATGAATTTATTTTGGAAAAATAAGTTCGTGACTTTTTAATTTTTGGAAACATTTTTTTTTCAACTTAGAGGTCAAGAGACATTGGAGAATCCAAAAATGTTTTGAGTTCGAGGAATCCGCTACTAACAAAATATACAAAATGAAATTTTGGAATTGAAATTTTTAAAATCATTAAAAATCGTCCAATTTTAAACTTTACATTTTTTCTCTTTGGCCTCTATTTAAACTCTAAAGTTTTTTCATTTAACCCATTACTAGTGTGTGTCTGAATAATCATTCGTTCATCATTTTCATTCACATATCAAACTTTTCATGAGAAAATAATTTCAATTTTGAACAACATTATGTTGATTACCATTTAAATTCACATATTAGATGAGTTATTTGAGTACTTTTAATGCTCAATTTAATGTGCGTTTTGTGGTTTTTAAACTTCATACTGTATCTAATGAACGAGAATTTCATATTAACCTGCATTGTATCTAAAATTATTGAAAATATTTCAATATGAATTTTATCGGTGATGATTTGTTGTTTAATATAGAATTGAACGTTAAACTTATTGATGCTGATATATCGCTTGATTTTTGACTTGAAAATCATTTTTTGAAATTGGTTGATTTGAATTTTTTAATTTTTTTAAAAATAAAAAGCATAGTGGTATACTTAAAAAATTCAATCTCATTGTAAAAAAAACAGCAAAACTTGCTAATAAGGTTTTTTATTGTTGTAATTTTCTGTACAACCCTAGATTTTTATTCCCTATAAATTAAATAAATTGAAGTTGTTAAGGTCGTAAAGGTTCTTTAATTTTAAAAAAAGAAATTTCAGAATTTTGAAGACATGAGCCTTATTCATCTCAAACAGGTATTCTAGGCAAATTTCAAGTAACAACATCGAATTTCTCAGCGAAATAATCAAATGGGAAACAGAGCTAAACACTTCATCAACAGGACCTCACTTCCGACGTACGAAATAAACTTCTCATCTGTAAGCTAGTCATCAGACCAATATTTACAAAATAAATCAAAATTTACTCGACAATAGATAAATAGCTCACTTTTGTGAGCACGCTATTGCTCAAATAACGTGCACAGAGCTTGCTTGCTAGCGTTCGGGTAATCAAATTATTCCAATGACAACAAAATTGTAAATTTTCAAAGATCAAAATATTAATATATCAAAGGGTAAACAGTCATTGAGCTATCAACATGACCAACGACGCAATTCTTTTTTATAATCAAATTTATTTGATAATCACTGATGAGATTCGTAATTGATGAATAAATTTCAAATTGTAACACAAAAGAGTGGCTTGTAGATCACTCAAATATTCAGCTAATTAAAGTCAAAAAGCGCTATTGTTGCATCGTACCATTAGCTTTTACTCCTTAGTGTCTGGAGTTGTGACCTGGTTCCTTCATGGCTTCTCAACTTCTATTTTGTTTTTCCGTCTTTTTTACATCCCTTTTATTTTTTCCACCACTTAGTGAGAGTGCTTGATGTAAGCTTAAGTCTATCCAAGACTGTAACCTATATTGAAATCTGATCTATATAAAAGAATGACTGAGAGCAGTTACTAGAGTTAAAAAAAATATTACAAACTTATCAAGAATGTAAGCTTTGTTGAAGTCTGGCTTTCTACTTATTATTATATTTTCAAAACTTCAAACTCTTCTGTATGTGCTGCAATCTATCAAAAAGAGAGGCGTGGAAGTTCGTGGTTTTCTGTATAAGCCGTGTTTTTGTTGTTAATTCTTAAAAAATACTTGACCTTTTTAATTGCTCATTATTTTATTTTTAAAAATGTTCGTACTCATCATATTATGCTTCAATCATGGATTTTAGATTATCTTCCTCTTTTTTTCTAGGTCAGGATTGAAAATTTGTTTAGATATATAAACAAAAGCCCATAAATAATCATAACAATTTATCATGACATTAAGCACCTTTCTGACACAAGTTAAACTCAAGTCCAATAGAAGCATTAAACATTCACAACATCATATCGGTTATGATGGGTATTTTTCAGCCATCATTATTTTCTTTGTTGATGTGTATAAATTTATATATAAATTGGGGCTTTTATCGAGAAGATTCATAGGGTAACATCTAAATTCCCTTGAGGCAGAGAATAATATAAAATAAAAATAATGAACCTATGTGAATAGAGGGAAAAAAGAAAAGTGGGAGTAAAAAATTGACTTATGAAAAACATTATGATGCGATATGAAAATGATCGATGAATGAAATGATTATTCATACAAGCAAATCTGAAAATAACAAATGAGAAATAGTGAAGCTTTAGGTTATATTTTTTCCTGCTAAGTCTTTAAATTTTGAAAGAAATATGTAGGAGGAAAATAAGTAATCAAAATCAAATTTTGAACATTGCCGTTAGATTAAGATTGTGTTATCATTCAGCTAACTATGTTTTCATATTGAGACATAAAAGATGAAACTGACATAAACAGTAAAAAGGGAAATTGCTGTGAGTCATGATTAAATGAATGTTTCTGAGATAAAGTCCGTCGGAATGCATGCGTTGTATCTGCATGTTTTTGTGTATATATATAAACAAATAACTGACAATAACAGCATCAGCGGCAGCAAGGGCACCAAAGGATATATATCATGAAATAGAGAAAATCAACATGCCAATCAATGTTGAATTTTATATTCAAGAGGAATGAAATTTTCCTGTTGTGAATGTTCACATGAAGAAATTCAGTAAACAAAACCAATAGAAATTAAATCTGATATATTTT